TGTTTACAGGGAAATCTCTATGTGGAGGAGAGCAGGGTTTCTGCAGCGGCAGCAAGTCTCCAGCCCCACACAAGGCAGACTGCTGAGAGACAGGAGTGGCACAGATGGCCCAACCTCTTTGATACAGAGGTAGGAAAACCAGCAGTTATCTCAGAGGACACAGGGAAGTAAGACAGATGGAGCCTTCCATGTCTCATCTTTATCTGTATAGAAACTAGGGCATTACAGTATGGATGGTTGGACAGCTAGATGGGAAAAAATGGTTGGACTGTTAGGCTTAGAGAGTGGTTGTTAATGGGTCATCACCCGATGGCCAGTGACAGGTGGAGCATCACATAGGTCAAGTTTGCAGGTAACACCGAACTGGAGGGAATGGTCAATATCCACAAGGGCAGGGCTGCCATCCAGAGGGACCTAGATAGGCTGGAGGAATATGCCAGCAGGACCCCCATGAAATTGAAAAAGTACAAATGCAAAGTCCCATGTCTGACTCCGGCAATGACATGGACTGGGGAGCAGTTCAGCAGAAAAGGCCTTGGAGGTCTTGGTAGACAGCAAGCTGGATTAGAGCCGCAGGGACAGTGACTTTTGCAAGAGTAGAGGGTATCTCCTTCCCTCTCACACACTTGTTAACAAAGACCCCATCAAACGATTTCTCATCAGCTCCATGTCAAACCCCAGCATGACACAGGAAGCCGGTTTCACATGGCCTGTCTACAACAGCAAGTGTGGATCATCATTCTGATGAAGTTCAGCTTGCAAAGGTAAATGATTTCATTTCCAAGTCAAATCATGTCATTTGCATGCTCAGAGAGGGTCACGGTCATTCACAGAATTTGAAAGGTCTTCTCGTTTGCAATCACTCTGTCAATCTGACATTAAGGAAAAGGAGAAGAGAAACCCAAAATACTGCAGTTGAACAGCAACTAGCACTTAATGCTTTTGTAAAAACCACAAGAAACTGTAGACAGACTGACCTGGAGGACTTTGAGCTATCAATAGTCCCATGCAAGAAAGACTGAAGTAGTGAGGGTGGGTAACCTTATCACAATATAAAAAAGCACCTCTTGAAGAACAAGACTAGAGACAAGTCTTCACCCTCCTAAGAGACAAAACATTGCCTAATGTTGCCATCCTGAATTTAAACTTACAAATACAGGATATCAGCTCCCTGGGATCCAGCACAAATCACCAGTGGGAGGAAGGACACCATTGACTGACTCAGCCACCATTCACCGTGTTTGCAAAACTGCCCACCCATGCACCTGTCCACATGTTCCAGTCCTCCACTGGGTACCTTCCTGTTGTTTAAATAGGATGGTGGGTTCACCACACCAACAGCAAGTGCTGGTTTTCACAGTCCCGGCTTGAGTGCCTGTCCTTCCCATTGCAGGCTCCCAACCCACGGCATGCTCCAGTGGCCAACATCTCAAGTCCAGTCAGTGAGCACCTCAGGGCACATGGGAGGTTTGAGACACAACTAGTGCTTTGGCAGCACTTTGTTTCTGATCAATGATACTGCTAAAGCAGCTGGAAGGAAAAAACAAACAAACCACCCGCAACTTTCTTTTCATCCAGTGCATTCTGACTATGCAATATCCTACCTGAAAAATGATGTCTCCATCCTTCTGTGAGCAGAACGTATTTGGATGAGGTGGGGGAGCTTTGGGACAGACTGCATCTGCACAGGGGACTCTTAAGACAATTTACGGATGAAAAGCCAAGCTAAAAGCAATTGAAGACAGATGTAGGTACAAACCGGGCTCAGGAAAACAGAGATGCAGATTACCAGAAGCTGGGAAGATACTCTGAGAAAACTCTCACCCTAAACCCACCCTGCTCTTGCACTCCTCCCTGAAGCCTGTTACTAGCCACAAAGAGGTGAGACTGCTCCCAGCACTCCTGCCCCACCACACAGGCCATGCACTGCACTCCACAAGTGGGGGTCAAGCCCCTTTGCAGCAGGAGGAACTCAACACAGCAAGAGGTGACATGCCACCCCAGGCAATGAGCATGCTGATTTGCCTTAGGGAAGATAACCAAGCAGATTACAACTTCTAAACCCTCTAAATTACTCACTGCTATCTCAAGTCATCTCAGGCTGCTGACACCAAGCTATCTGATTAACAGTAGCAATCAAATTAACAGGTATGTGCAGTAAACTGACTAAATAGCCATGCAGCAGCGGAGGTATTTATGTGAGCTCCCAGCAGCCACAGAACAGCAGGGTAGAGCACGCTCCCTTGTTCAGGCTCAGCTCTCCTCTGCCGTGCTGAAACTCCATCGTAGAAAGACAGCATCTCATTACCACGACCACGCAAAGACAATAGTGAGAAAGCACCAGACTTTGCAGCGGACAGTGACTTAATGACATGCTGAAGTCTCAAGCAAGCAATCCAAGCAGGGAGTCAGAGAGTTTCTCTTTGAAAGCTGGGAACTGAAGGGAGCACATCACACTAATATCAAATTCTAGTTTGGATTTGCTAATAAACAGATTGAATTACCAACCACAGTTTTCATTCTCTGGAACAGAAACTTCCAATTAGTCGCACTACTTCAAAAACAAAGAGACAAACACTGTTTTTTCCTCATTAAGACCCACTAGGACTCTGCAGGACATGAGCAAAATCAGAGCAGGAGCCATTTGCCTCCTTCCACCACCTGCTACACCACCCCATGTCCTGCAAATGCCCAAAACAAAAAGATTGCCCTTTCTCCATCTCTTGATTCCAAAAGTTCAGCTCGTCTCAAAAAGGAGACAGCGGTTTCCTGCAAGAAACCCTTCCCTGGAAATAAATATTTTTACGTTAAATCAGAGAGCAGTCAGATGGGACTATCCTCAATCCCCAGAGCAAAGCTCCCCAGAGAGCAGCAGTCTCTGAGCAAAGTAGACCTTGCTGCATTAAGCTCTTTCACGACCCACCTCCCGAGGCAGGAGATAATACGGAGCAGACAGAGGAAGGTCTGAGCTAAGGTGGATTCATGGAGAACAGGGCTGCCTGCCAAGGACTGAGGTCAGGCATCCTTCACCATTTGCTGTGGTTAGCAAGTCATACCAGTCGCTCAGAGCAAAGCTATGGTGGCACTCATGCTTGTGTGCATGAGCACCACACCAGAGCCAGTCACCCTGCACTGCCCAGGCCATCATGGAGGGGAGAACAAGCTGCACCTTCTCCACAGACAAGTACCCACACTTTGTCACACATATGACACTCCCAGCTACAGAGTCATAGCTCCACCAGCTATGACCAGACAGCCATCACTTAATATGTGAATTAATTGCATAGTGTAAATCGCAAGTCCCTGCACATGACAAAATACCAGACAGCCTATAAGGATGCTCAATTTGACCTTCAAGGCCCTTTTTCCTCTCAGCATCCAAGCCAACACATAGCACAGCTTGTAAGGAACATGGTCTCAGCCTTAATAAAGAAATCACTTTTAAACAAGACTATAAGCTATGTATTCATTTCCTGAAACTACATAAACGTTTTTAGTTCCCCACACTGTACACACAAGTGATTCATAGCTGATTATCTCTGCACGGCTGCCTGATTCCTATATACAATCATGGTAACTACACACGTGAGTTCTGTGTACTCTTTTTAGGACAAATTTTAATTTGCATTAAAATATACTTAAAATTTAAATGAAATATCCTCATGCAGAACAGAGCACCATTGCAGCAGCTTGTGGCAGGGGATTCAGGGAGAACCATAGCCAGTTCTCTGTAGCTGCCAGCGAGTGGTCGGGTCAGGTCAGAGGGCACTTCGGCCCCCAGCGTACTCACAGCACAAGTGCTGCACAGGAATTTGGTGCCTTTTCAGTAAAGTTAGTCCCTCAGGACACACGAGGCTCACTAGACATACCCACTTCTGCATGGGAGGCAACGCTGGTGCAGCACAAGCCAGTGTGGCAGATTTCCAGCACGTGCAGAGCATCTGCCCAGAAATTCCCTGCCTGCCTCCCCCAGGATGTGCTGCTGCTCCAATGGAGCCGCAGTCACACATGTGCAACAAGAGAGATTGTGTGTATAACAAGACTTCTTTCTCACAGGGGCCACACACAATGTTCGCAGGGACTGAATGACATCATCATGGTCACACTTGAGACTCTGTGGCATAAAGCTGCTATAAACAACATTGAAGGAGAAGCAAGAAAAAGCATTTCTAAAGGACTAATAATTAGCAAGCTCATCTGCAGCCACTTGAGCTGGTATATGAGTAATACGTTGACAGACACTCTCTGCTCTCAAGGGACACCTGAAGATTAGTATTAGCTGGACATTGAGTCACAACATTTCTGAAAGGTCCTCAGGCAAATGCCTGTGCTTCAATAAGAGCACAGACAGAATGGCTATTCCAAGTTCAAAAACTTTAAAAAAGAAGGGCAAAGCAGACCTTGGATGGGAACAGACCTCCTGCATCACAGACTACAGCCTGCAGGCAGTCACTTCCCACGATTTGCAAACTTATGGAAGGAGTCACACTGCAAAGTGACCGAGTTTCCCTTTTCCACCTGTGTTACCCAGCATATTTACTAGAAAGCTATTCCAGAGTTTCACTCCTCTTGTGGCTAGAGGTCTTCTGACTTTCAGTTTAAGTTTATTAACAGCAAGTTTAGGTGCATTCATTTCTGTGGCAACACTGTCCTTTATTTCTAAGGATTCTGCTCCTTTTCTAATATTTACTGCAACATTTCTACAGACAGCAATAACTTCTCCTTTCCACCTCCATTACACATGACCAGACGAGCCAAGATCTTTCAGTCTCCCACCATAAGATACCACCTTCACAGCCCTTTCCACATGTACCAGACATTGTCTTTCCTCCCTCCTCCTCCAGCAATTAAGCTGGTGTCAGAATAGACATCTTCAATCAACAGTTTTGTTCCAGTAAGCTTTACCCCACACGTGCCCAAGACATGTTGCAGAGGATGCCCTCATCAGGGGCCATGAGGAGCTCTGTGGGAGGAATGGGGCCCAGAGCTCGCTGCCTCACCTGGAACGCTGTCTGGCTGTTGTAGTTGCGAATCTCTTTGCTCGCACCACGGAAGAGGAGAACCCGAGCGCAGCTCTCCTGTGAAAGCAAGCAAGAGGGAAAGGGGAAGAGACCAATTAACACTACAGACTAGTGACAACGAAAAAGCAAACCAGATGGTTTCATCGCGCTTAGAAAGCCTCCTTTGGCAAGAGCAAGGAATGATGCTCAACCCCTACGAACTGGTCACCCCCAACCCCAAGCTGACCAAGTCCACCCACCTGTATGCAGCTCTGGGGCACTGGTACCATGGCCATGCCCAAACATCAGCCCAAGAGCACAGCTACAGGCACACTGGCCACCACACATTCCCAGGTATTGCTATTTCCTAAAGCCTTCTATTGTTTCTGTTTTGAAAGCTCTGTGCTTCTAAATTATGTTAGTTCAACAGGTTTATGAGCACCTGTTCTCTTTAATGCCGCTCTACCCACCAAACCCAGTGGACAGGCACCTGGGTAGAAGAGTCCTTGATGTGCAGAATGCACCTACCACCTAACAAGCCACAAATCAGCCTCCACGTACCACTGTCTATGGCAAAACATAACAGTGTTGAATTTTTAAAGCATGGACACCTCAGACACTGAAAATTCCCTTTATAATCAAAACCCACATAATACAACATATAAAAATCTTTAGGAAGGAACAAAACCTACAGGAGAAATACTTAGATACCGACCTCCACATCTCAGAAAGACAACAGTGGTGTATAAAATCAGAGAGGGCTCTTTCACCACCCTCAATTTCTCCTTAACTGAGGCTAGTAACCACACAGAAAATAAAACAGAAATGGTGCCCTATGCTGCCTGGACAGTAGTCTTCAAAATTCAGAGATTAGTAGTAAAAATTTAGGGCCATTTGTGAGAAGGACAGAACCCCAGTCCACATACCTTGCCTAGAGCCAGGTGAAAGCCACAGGATGTGCCCAACAAATCCTGCCTGGGGCACATGCCGGCCTCAAATTAAATGAGAGCACCTGGGCCAAATGAGCACTCTCCACCCAGGCAAACTGCTCCCTCCCAACCAGTAATGGGGGCTTGCTGTGAAGTAGGAATAGGAACCAGAGGAAAAATTACAGAAAATGTTAGGCAGTAAATCAGCAAAAACATCTTGGGAACAGATTAAACCATGGACTCTTCTCTGGCCACCTGCCTCTTGAGAAATCCAACATCAGGCTGGTGCTACAAACAGAAACAGCCTCATCCCAGGACAGAGTATGGATACAATTCAGAAGAACTTTTCTGGGTCTGGGAACAGTAATAGCAATGAGAAGGTGCGTCAGCCCAATATTGTGCTCTCTCCATCTCAGGCAGGCTGGTGCCCCATCTACAATTTCTTGTTCTCATGCCCCAAATCACACAGGTGTACCTGGTTATAGAGAGCACAAATATGAAGAGCG